GTGACCGCGAAGCACCTTACCGTTACAACCCAGATGCCGCTCCCTTTTCTCTCTCTCTCTCTCTCTCTCTCTCTCTCTCTCTCTCTCTCTCTCTCTCTTTCTCTCCCCCACCCCCTCTCTCTCTGTAGATGAAAATCTGAAATCTGCCATACTGTACAGTTAGTTGACAGGTTCACAATCCAATCTGTATTCAACTCATTCTCGTCTTTACGACCCCTCCTCCCCACACCCATAACCAATCCCAGGGTCCTGATGGGTGACCAAATTTTCATTGACCCGGAAGGGACCCTCATTTCATGGCACTGTAGCAAAAACCCCTGTTTTGTTTCTTTTAGGTTGATTTTTGCTAAGCTTTATTTCATGTTTAAGGAAGATTACTCACATCAGCAGAGAGAGAGAGAGAGAGAGAGAGAGAGAGAGAGAGAGAGAGAGACCGACCGACAGACAAAGAGACAGAGAGACAGAGAGAGAGAGGACATGGAGAGACATAAACTGAGAGATGATTGCAGGACATCACTCGCTCTCTCGTTGCCTCTCTCCTTCTCTTCCTCTATCCCTCTCTCTCTGCCTCTCTCTCTCTCCCTTTGCACCCGGATCGTTGCCAAGGACAACGAGCACCGACAAGGAAACATTGGCGAGAAGACACCGGGACACAGTTTTGTTTGGAAGTGACCCACTTTGGAACATGTCGTGCGTGCGGTTGCTAACTTTGTAATTGAAGGGGACAGCAAACCGTAAATCAAATTTGTGTGTGTCTTGGAGTAGCTAAATCCTGCGGTTCTTAAGGTGTAAATACTCTGAGCACCAAAGAGTCATGTTAGAGATCTTCAATATGTTGATGAATCTGAATAAACTGCGTAAATCGTGCTAGCCTCGCCCGCTATTTTGAAACAAAGGATAAAAAGCCGGAAAAAAAGTTTTCAAAAGAATGTATCGTCTAACTTGTAAACAAGACTGAATATGCCACAAGAACTGTGCTTCTTCTGCCTGAATAAATCGTGCCATACAGACAGTGTCAAACAAGCGTGCAGATTGTTTCTATAACGAATGACACCCCTTTTCTTGCAAGCTTGCCCATTGCATTGTCCATTTTCCTCCCCCCCCCCCTTTTTTTGCTTTTCCCGTTTTTTTCTCCCTTCTTATTCGCTTGTCATATAGAAATTCGCACAGGGAGATTGGTAGCAATCCCACTGGCGTCACTTGGTTAATTTTGTCAAAACATTTTTCTGATTCATTATTGATTCATCATGCAAATATAGTGTGTGCTTTTGTCTGTGTTCATTATCCAGAAGAGTTGTGTTGAAATCTAGATATTGAGAAGAAAGGAATGTTATTTATGGTTATACATACATACATACATACATACATACATACATACATACATACATACATACATACATACATACATACATACATACATACATACATACATACATACATACATACATACATACATACATACATACATACATACATACATACACACATATATATATACCTATATACTCATGATTTAGACACCGACCCTTGGCTCGTATAATAAAAAAACAAACATTTGTGTCAAAAATGTGGGGGGGGGGGGGAGGTGTATCTATACAATGCATTTAATTTTGTTATACACAAGCCTATCTAACGCCTGTATAAATGCGTTATTCTTTATACATAATATACATACACATGTACGCGCCCGTACACACACACACACACACACACACACACACACACACACACACACACACACACAAACACACACACACACAGACGCACGTACACAAACTCCTTCTCTCTTCCCTAACTTTCCCGTGCCCCCTTTTTAGTAACACTTAGTGTGTTTTACTCTCTCCAGCACTGAACGCTACTTCACAATATCGATGTGCTTTTCTTTACTAAAACTAAAGAACCAACACTATGACAGACAGTTGATAGGCTATCTTTCATCGTAGTTCTTCAAGCCAAGAGAAAAAATAGTTTTCAATGTTTCTCTCCTCCTTCTCTCGGTAGCTTTGTCTGTTTTTTTTCAGCTGGACAGTTCAGGCTTCCTGTCGTTGTCCCGTCTAAGAGACATTCTTCGCCGAGCTAATCTGTCGCCGGAGTGATGACGTGTCACTCATGCCACGCACCTATGACGGCACAGAGATTCCTATCACTGATGGAAGATTGACAGACCTATCGGTTGTATCCCCCACTTAAAAAAAAAAAATCCCAAACAAACTTTGATTCTTTAGATTATTACTTTTTCCGTTCCTGCCCATTTCTACATTTATGAGATTGACACCATCTGATTAGTAGAAAAATGTGCGTACGGTAGTATCCAATAGAGTATTACGTACATATTTGTTATAACATGTAACTATTACAGATGGCTATTCAAGGAATATTAATGTATGTCAAGGATCTAAGAGCAATGATGATTTTTAGATATGTTGACGGTGGTGAGTGATTACGTGAGATAGTATTTATGTTAGCGTTAGATCTAGTTCTATTTCCCCCTGCTCCAATGAATCACGAGGCACGTGGACACCCTGTATCCTGTTCTCACTTTGGAGACATAATTATTGCTTGACTTGGGTATGAAACTTCTCTATTAATTTGTTGAACAGTCGAGGCAAGGTTGCCTTGGCGATTCTGCGAACTATGTAAGAATAAAAAAAGAAGAGGTTTATTGCCTTTGGGATCATATTATGGCAAAACACCAGGCTAAAACAACGTAACCATTGAAATCATAGCAGCACTAGAAAAGGGGAGAACCAAAGGGGTGACAATGTTGCTTGACACCATGGACAACAGAATGGGAACACCATAGGGCGTTCAGTCCTGCCGGTGTTCATGAAAAGAATAGGAAACGCAATTTTGGTTTGTTGCTAATAAAGGTACCCCAAATGCTATATTTGTCCGAAAGATGTTCATGGGAGATCAGTTGTGCTTTACACTGTCTCAACCCCCCCCCCCAAAAAAAAAGCAAAAACAAAAAGCAACAGCAACCCAAAACAAAACAAAAACAAAAATAAAAAACAACAACAACAACAAAACAAACAAACAAACAAACAAACGAACAAATAAACAAAAAAACAACAACATGCCGATCTAAGATCAGACTTACTGCTACATATCTTTTAAAGCATTACAATACTTTTCACTGGCTCAACTGATAATGAGTACAATAATAATACTGTCTTACACCAACCACTGATTAGCTAAACTGGTATCTATCACATAACTTTGCACCTGTCACTCAATACTCTCTAACAACGTTGAATTAAACACTCCATATTGTGCCTCACTGACTTAAAATCGAAAATAAAAGTATTAAAAGTAAGAATAACAACACTGCGAAGGAAGGGCGGGGCAGGGAGTGGGGTGGGGTGGGCGGAAGGATACAGCGTCTCAAGAAATTCCGGGGAAGCGAAATTGGACGTGGATTGTTTTTTGGCCAGGCAAAACCTGGTCTTGATTGATGAAACACCACGTTGTTTAGGCAAGGGTTGGGTAGGGGAGCGGTATGCAGAGCAGGAAATTAAGCAAGTACACTGTAGTTTTATGCACACAAAGTCTGGAACAATGAAATAGAACAAAATGACCCGCATTGTCCGTTAAACATTAGACGAAGAAGTAAGTAGAGCTTCAAGTCAGTGTCAAGGAGAATTCAGTGATCCAGAGTGCATCAACATTATGAACATCTGAACAATTTCAGAAAACAGCATATTACATTAAGACGAGAACGTTTATTGATATCATTCCATGTTTTAATTTCATTTTTGTCTGTCTGTCTGTCTGTCTGTCTGCTAACATGTTTGTCTGTCTGTCTGTCTGTCTGTCTGTCTGTCTGTCTGTCTGTCTGTCTGTCTGTCTGTCTGTCTGTCTGTCTGTCTGTCTGTCTGTCTGCTAACATTTTTGTCTGTCTGTCTGTCTGTCTGTCTGTCTGTCTGTCTCTCTTTCTCTCTCTCTCTCTCTCTCTCTCTCTCTGTGTGTGTGTGTGTGTGTGTGTATATGTATGTGTGTCTGTCTGTCTATTTCTCTCTCTCTCTCTCTCTCTCTCTCCTCTCTCTCTCTCTCCTCTCTCTCTCTCTCTCTCTCTCTCTCTCTCTCCGTCTTCATCTCTCCTCCCCCCCTTTCTATAGGCACACACTTGCACGTTTTGAAACACAACCACGTGCCCTTAGTCCCCCAACTCTACCCCCGCCATGTTCTATGCCCGTGGCTTTTCGTCTCTTGCCTGTCTTTGTATTGGCCTTTGGGTTGAATCTCTTCCTACCCCCCTCCCCATTAAAAAAACCCCGTCTTTAAAAACCCTTTTCCAGACAATTTCCCCTTACCTTCATTAAAATTTAAACTCCTATCGTCTTGCGTGAATCTTGATCTACAAGTTCGCCCACACTAACGGGTCTCGACTTTTTCTCCGCTTGGGGCCAAATAAAAAAAACATTTCTCTATTCGACAGCTTAGCCAAGTGGCATCTGGTCAGCCACTGTAGTGTAACGGCTACACTCCTAGTGGTGAACGTTAGTGACACGAGTTCCATTCATACGTGGAGAATTTTTTAAAAACAGTATCTCCGTTTTTCTACATGGATGTATCCCACTGAGCCGTAGCTGGCGCACACAGGAAGATTGGATGGCATCACACCCCCTTCTGTCCTGAATGATACGAATTGATTTGAAAAGGTTTTAAAACTGACATTCATACGTTGTTATCTAAAACTGTAAATACGATTCTCTTTTGTCACGATTGTTTGGCAGATAGGGATTGTTTGGCAAAGCCATATGAAGTTGTCAAATGGAAAGATTAAACGCCTTTTGTTACTCACTGAGGCCTATGATTGCCAACAAGGTAAATATTTGGACCATTATTCTTCGGACGCCGTTCAATGACCGTTTGCTTGTTTATGAAATATCAATAAAATTTGAAACAGCGACTAACGATGATTAAGGTTACGGAAATATGTTGCGACTTCTAGAAGTCTGACCAGATTCATGACCCTTTTCCTAAGTGCTTCTTTACGATTTTTTTTCCTGATCAGGGCAGACGCAAAATGACAGGGTAAGTTTAGCTACTTGAGTACATCATGGAAAGTCTAACTTTCGTAAATAACAACTATAATCTAGATCTAATAGACAGAGTAATGCTGTTCTTGCTGCTACAGAGTTGGAGAAAGCAAAGAAATGCCATAATTATGACAGTGTGGCTATTGGGGGTTAAGACGAGATTTTAAAAAATTGTTAAGAAAATTGTGCTTTCTCCAGGTAGTAGCGTACAAGCAAAACTTATAATGTACAAATTACTTTTTAAAAGCCTGTTAGTATTCTCTTTCTGTCTTTTTGCAATTATTATAAAAGGCAATCTCTAATAAAATCGAAACTTTCAATACCTTCATCCTTCAAATTGGGGACAAAAGTTCATAATTATATTATACTAGCGAAATAGAATCTGTATGGAAAACGCCAGACACAATCATTCACATATTCGCATCTACTGTCCAGACAAAAATGAACACTTCAGTTAAAAGTCAACACGAGATATTGAGTTCGCAATCACACTTTAAGCATGAAAACCAAGCACAAAGAACTCGAGTGGCAATAGTTTCAACGTGGATGCAGCACGGTATAATACTATAAGACATCTGATTTAACACCGATCTCAGGAAGTTCTGAGCCAGAGGGTTGAAGGGTCCAGAAAACGTTTGAAACAAGTCACTAACAACACTAACAGATCTTTTGAGGATTACATACAGACCACCTCACTGCAAATAATAAAAAATGCCGACTGAATAAAGAGGGCGAAAATAATCCACAGTATTAATGATCCAATACATGCAATATTGCCACTAAGATGAAAGTTGTGAGCAATTTCGTGCTCTTCATTTGATTGTTCAAAAATTAAAAACATATTGAAACACTTCATCTCGTATTAATTGCTTTTCTTCTCTACTGTAAATTTATTTTACACTTTAATGATACTTTTTCCTTTTGCCTAGATTTCTGATCACTTTTTAAACAATTGCATTTATCCCATGTACAGTAGATGGACATTCTTGCAACACAGAGGAGTGCGTCTGAACAAAAACCCCCCAATATACTGCAAGATGTCACTGGCAGATCTGTTTTCCTGTTTGTCAATCTGATGTTGTAAAACATCATTTCGTAGACCATATCCTGAACATCATTCTGTCGATTATATCCTATGTGTCGTTCTCTCTGTTTTTCTTTTTCTGTTCTTCCTTCTCTTTTACCTTCTGCGTCGGCTTTTTTCTCGACTCGTTCCCTCTACCCCATCCCCTGCCCTTTTTACATATCTTAATAATTATTTCTTTCTTCTGCTTTTTTTCTTCACGTCTTTTCATTCTCTTTCGTTCCCTGTCTTTCTCAGCTTCTTTTCTTTAAATGTCACACTCTGTCTCTCCCAACCCCTTCCTCTCTCTCGCTGTCTCCCATAATCTATGAGGATTTAGTATCATCAACATTTTAAAAATTTGCTCATGAATCCAGCAGAAGGTCTTGGCTGTTTTCTAAGACGGGCGACTCCAAAAACTGTGCTAACAAGGAGACATGACAATGACAAAATGAGTATTAGACTTTATACATTCATTATTCCATCATACAAATTATCTTTATACATTCATTAATCCAGGATAAAGATTCATTAATACAGAATACACCTTCATTATTTAGGGATTAAAAAGCCACAGCCCCTCATCAATGTCAAAACAGGAAAATCCACAAAGCTGTCTCTTCCAACAGCGAGGGCATCAGCACAAATATTGAACATAAAACAGAAAATAAAAATCACGTAAAGTTGAGAAACAGGAGATGAAAAATTCATTTTGCTTTCCACACAAGAAATGATGACACATTGATTGTGCAATTGTCAGCGTCCGATAACACATAGGAACGTTTTGCCACGGGTTGCCGTTGCAGAATCATCCCAAGAGAAAAAGAGTTTTACAAAAGGTCTGGAAAACGAAAACATGACGAAAATAATATTCTGTTTTGACAAAAGATATGAATCAAATATTGATTTCAATCCTTTCGCTGCTTCTTTACACCCCCTCTCATATGTACGTTATCATTTCTACAGCTAAGGCTGAAACCGGCTAAAAAATAAAATTGCAGCTGAGAGAGCCATTTTGCTTCAGTTGTAAGAACAAAAGAAACCATCGCCATTTGCAACACGACAATCTGCTTGTCGTTGGTGTCCGCTCTCTTCACCTGTGTTTCCATCAATTAAGGTCCGACAGATTCTTTGTCGCAGTTTATGTTATACTCAACCGTAAGAACAGTTGGTGATTGGATGTTGTAATAAGTAAAAAGAATACTCAACGTTAAGCCTTGAGCATTTCTGGTGCACTGGAGAATAAAACAACAGTATAATTCATACCCCCCCCCCCCCAATAAAACCCCCCACAAAAAACAACAACAAAACAAATGGTACGGCCTAATTTGGGGTATAATATACGGTTGGAGTCGGACAAGGGTATTATGAGTCTCTGCTCTTTCACCCCATAGCTCTATACCTTTGCAATTAATGCAATGCTGTATGCTCCGTTTGGTAAGTGTCTTAAGCGATGTTATTTCCTGTACACGAGTTATGATGGGCGCGGCGCCTTAAAATAAAAAGGTCACACCAATGTTACATGCGTGGGTGAAACACTCTTTGAAGGCGTAATGTATAATGTGACCCAAATGTGCAAATACAATAAATTACAGAAATCATGTCTTTCAATAGGAGATTGGACCATTATTATAGTGAAAAAAGAAGACCACAGAATCGTTAACCATTTTGTCTCCTTACAGCAAAAATGTGCTTTCTGTTCCACAGAATAGAGTCTGTGCTCCCACGTCATGATGTTGAAAGAGTTAACAACATGTTCCCTTAATGACAATCAATATCTCCACGTGTGAAAAGCAGGAAGAGACTACAATCTTGAATTTTCACTTTGGAAAACGCATCAAGTGTCAGAACTTTATGCCACTGAAGCAGTTTACCACGGGCAATATTCTCTAGGAAATTACTTGTCAGTCGGTTGTAACAATCTTCTGCCTGAGGTGACACGTCACAAATAGTCTTCCTTTCCAGCCCCATCTTCCGCGGCATGAGAACAGCCGTTTGCTCTGACCACCTGAGAGCTGTTGACCAGTCCTACATGATCAGCTGTTGTGGTGGTGTTCTGTTGAAGCTGCTGCTGCTGCTGTTTCTGTTGCTGTTGTTTTTTTGCCGCTGTGCTGGAGGCGTTGGTGCACGTGAGCTGTATGGCTTCCCCGTCTCCAGGTTTCCGAGGAAATGGCCAGAAAATCTTCACGAAGGTTGTCCTGAACACAACGCTCATAGTGCAGTAGAGGAAGAAGCTAAAGGCTGAGTTGACAGCTAGGAGAGAGTCGGTGATCTCCCGTATTCCTTTGACCAGATGGTCCTCTTCTACGTAGCCTTTCCCGAAGAACGTTGACATGATGGCATCTGGCGTGATGCATACCAGAAACATAAACACAATCACTATGAGCATCAGCGTGATGCGATTGCGTGCAGAAAACTTCTTCCCCTTGACTCGCTCTTTGCGCAGCTCGTTGATGATGCGGACGTTTAGGTAGACTAGGATGAACACAGGGATGATGCCACGCAGCGAGTTCTGGATCCACGACCAAGGTTTCATGAACGCCTCATTGTTCCCTAGCGTGGTTGGAACGATTTCCACGCACGTCGTGTTCAGCGTGTGGTCCTGAATCGTGATCATTTCGTAGCGTAGCCCAGACGGTATGGCCAGGATGCTCATGAAAATGAAGACAAAGGTGCAGACAAATCTCGCTCTGGGGATGGTGCAGAGTTGTTTAGCTCGCGACGCATAGCAGACGGAAATATACCGCTCTACAGCCACACTCACTGTCAGCCATGACGTCACGCAGACCGACATGTTGAATACGTAATGAGCTACGGGGTATAAGCTGCTCATGAATTTTTCAGAGAGGTCTTGGTCCGACTGAGATATGGCGACGATAATGACATACATGGCGTCGTTGAGGAGCTTGAAGGTGTCAGAGACGGCGAGGGAGGAGAGGTAAACGTTTGTTGATGTTCTCATGTCTCTGTGATTTAACACCACCAAGGCTAGGACGTTTCCTGTGATGCCAATGATGCAGAGAATTGGGTAGACAATGAGGCCAGTGATAAACTGAGCCATCATGTAGAACTCTTTGTAGTGGTCGGAGACGTTCTGGCCCCCGCAAGACATGGTGGCAGAGGCGTTGGTCGGGTCAAAGAGATCGAGCTGGGCCAGAGATGGTTGTTGTTGTTGTTGCAGGGACGTTGTTGTGCTCATGTTAGTGGCAATGTTCAGAACAGGGATTCTGTCGCTCAGCATGGACGCCATGATTCTTTCCCACAGACTTGCAGCTCTACTATTAGCAACACAGAATATGTCTGGGAACAAACCGGCATTCTTCAACCTAAGAAAACGATATCTATTGTGCCTCTGGCTACTTCTACTTTGTCTTTTGAGTTTGAGAATATTTGCTCCCAATTTAACTTATTGTATGTCATTTCAGGGAAGAACCACTTAGTTCTCTTGTGGGGAGCACGGGCGCTGTTTATACATTTGAGGAGGAAAGAGATATACAATTTGTACACCCCAAAGGTAGAGAAGGAGTGTAGTAAAAAATGGACGTTTATAAACGCAAAAAAAGAATGCAAAGAGTGTGCAATCAAAGCGTGTGTTTGTGAGTGTGTGTTTGTGTTTGTGAGTGTGTGTTTGTGTGTGTATGTGTGTGTGTGTGTGTGTGTGTG